GGATATACCCTTTGGTTGGTGGATGATGCATGGAGGGGATTGGAACCATGTCAATGGATGATATACGATGGAATGAATGTAAAGCTAAAGTTCTCTCATGTAAACTATCATATAATTCACAATAAAACATTAAAATAAATAAATAATTGAGGGATTTTGTCTAGATGGTTGTCCAAGGTGATTATAGAAAATTTAGCCAGGCTTAAGAGAAGATCAGAAAAAATATCAGAGATCCTTCAGGCATTGTTCTGTGACTTCCAAGTGACATAGGTCTTGTAGGTGGAGACACAGGACTAAAACTATTTTCTTCTTGTTGTTCAGTGCCGTCGAATAGGTTCGAACTCATAGCGACCCCGTATAGGGTTTCCAGGGAATGACTGGTGAGTTTGAACTGCTAACTTTGCAGTTCAAACTGACATTGTGGTTGAGTGCTTACCCTATGGCCCCACACCAAGACTCTGCTACTATCTCAAGAAGGGGGAATATGGAGGAAGCCATAGGGCAGAAAGGAGATGAAAGTGTAAATTTCTAATGTAACTGCCTCAGAGAAGATTCACAACTAACTGAGTATAAAATGATTTTTTCCCCTTGTTTCAAAAGAGAATCAATAATAGTGGAGTTTGTAATTTTCAGTAACTTCCATCTATTAGAACAGTTATTTTCAGCTCTTAAGACTCCTTGCTGTTCATTTCACAACTTAAATCTTGAATATGATTTTGACACCTCCTCAAAGGCTCCTTATTCAGCCTAATTTCTAGTGGCTTAGAGTGGAGTGAGGCAATTTGGCTGTTAGCCTCTCCCTTGCACATGCTCCTCTGATGCTGGGAAGGAGGGACAGCATCAGGAGAGATTGCCCATGGAGAGATGAAGGTTCTCTTTGGTTTATTGTCTATGGGTATGGTATGGATGCGATGGTAATTTCAACAGGGTCCACTAAGAACATTCAATCTTGGACAGCTCTCCTCCTGGCTAACTCCAGCTGTTAACCTCTCATCATATTCCTTTTATGTGTGTGGATCTTTTCCCACTGTGGAAGTACCAGTATGATGGTAGCTCCCAGTCTCATCCTCTTGTACACCTGACATGTAAACCTACAGACATTTGAAGGATCCACATCTATTCTTCCCAGGAACTGGAAATTTAAGGAGATAGTTAATGGTCTTGGCTTTCTCCCTTCCTTGTTAGCCCTCACCATGTAGTAAAGAAGACATTCACCTGGAGTATCAACCAACTGCCAGGATCGCCTGTAGAAATTTCTAGGGATCATCAGGAAACATTCTGCAAGGAATTACTAGGTTAAAAGTAGGGTTTTTCTTTGTGTAAGATGTTGTTGTTGTTGTTGTCAGGTGCCATCGAGTCGGAACCGACTCATAGCGACCCCATGCACAGCAGAACGAAACAATATCCGATCCTGGGTCAACGTCACTACCGCTGCCACACTTGAGTCCATCAATGATGCCACCTGGCTGATCCATCTCATTGGGAGTCTTCCTCTTTTTCTCTGACCCTCCACCCTACCCAGCATGACATCCTTCTCCAATGATTGTTTCCTCCGGACAATATGTCCAAAGTAGGAGAGACGAAGCTTAGCCATCCTGGCCTCCAAGGAGCACTCTGGCTGCACTTCTTCCAAAACAGATTTATTGGTTCTTTTGGCAGTCCATGGCACTTTCAGTATTCTCCTCCAACACCACAACTCAAAGGCATCAATTCTTCTACGATCTTCCTTATTCACTGTCCAGCTTTCGCATCCATATGAGGCTATTGAAAACACAATGGCCTGGGTCAGGCGCACTGGGTCTCTGCTCTTCAATACTTTAAAAAGTTCCTGTGCAGCAGATTTACCCAGTGCAATACGTCGTCTGATCTCTTGACTGCTACTTCTGCGAGTGTTGATAGTTGATCCAAGAAGAATGAAGTCCTTGACAACTTCAATCTTTTCTCCATTGATAAGAATGTTGTTTATTGGTCCAGTGGTGAGGATTTTTGTTTTCTTGACATTGAGATGTAATCCATACTGAAGGCTGTAATCTTTGATCTTCATCAGTATTTCAATTCCTTCTTGCTTTCCGCAAGCAAGGTTTTATTATCTGCAGATTGAAGGCTGTTAATGCGTCTTCCTCCTATCCTGATACCACATTTTTCTTCATAGAATCCTATTTCTTGGATTGTTTGCTCAGTATACAGATTGAATAAGTATGGTGAAAGAATACAACCCTGTCTCACACCTTTCCCAATTTTAAAACATTCAGTGTTCCCATGTTCTGTTCAAACAACTGCTTCTTGGTCTAGGTACAGATTTCTTAGAAGTACAATTAAGTGTTCTGGAATACTCATACTTCTCAATGTTGTCCATAGCTTGTCATGATCCACACAATCGAAAGCCTTTGCGTAGTCAATAAAGCACAGGTAAACATCCTTCTGATATTCTCTGCTTTCAGCCAAGATCCATCAGACATCTGCAATGATATCTCTCGTTCCATGGCCTCTTCTGAATCCAGCTTGAACTTCTGGAAGTTCTCTGTCAATGTATGATTCCAGCCGTTTCTGTGTTACCTTTAGCAAAACATTGCTCACTTGAGATATCAAAGAGATTGTCCGATGATTTCTGCATTCCGTTGGGTCACCTCTCTTTGGAATGGGCATAAACATTGATCTCTTCCAATCAGTTGACCAGACAGTTGTCTTCCAAATTTCTTGGCAGAGATGAGTGAGTGTCTCCTGTGCTGCCTCACTTTCCTGAAAGATTTCAATTTTTATTCCATCAATTCCTGGTGCCTTGTTCTTTGCCACTTCTTTCAATACACTTTGGACTTCCTCTCTGAGTATCATTGGCTCTTGTTCATATGGTATCTCTTGAAATGGTTGAACATTAACCATTTCCTTTTGGTACAATGACTCTGTGTATTCCTTCCATCTTTTCTTGATGCATTCTGCATCATTCAATAATTTGCCCAGTGAATCTTTCAATAACGAAAGTCGAGGCTTGAATTTTTTGTGTAAGATAATCTCTTTTAATTAGTTGAAATTTAGAAGTCTTAGTTTAAAAGGCAAATAATGCAATTTCTTGTTTAAAACAAGGGTAAGTCTGAGATCTGGTGGGGCATGCTTTGACTTTAGAAATGCTGAGCATGTTCTTCCCTTTTGGTTTTCTAACTCCAGGTCTTTGCATAGTTCATGAAAATACTTTATCTTCTTGAGCCGCCCTTTGAAATTTTCTGTTCAGCTCTTTTACTTTATCATTTCTTCCATTTGCGTTAGCTACTGTAGGTTCAAGAGCAAGTTTCAGACTTGAGACATTCACATTGGTCTTTTCTGTCTTTTTTACAACTGTTTGCTTTCTTCATATATAATGTTCTTGATAGCATCCCACAACTCCCTTCGTCTTTGATCATTAGTGTTTAATGCATCAAATCTGTTCTAAGATGGTCTCTCGATGCAGGGGGAATATATTCACCACCACATTTTAACTCTCACAGACTTGTTTTAATTTTCTTCAGCTTCAACATAAACTTGTGTCTGAACAATTAATGATCTGCTCTATAGTTGGTTCCTTGCCTTGTGTTGGCTGATAATATTGAGCTTCTCCATCATCTCGTCCACAAATGTATGACTGTGCATTCCATGTGGTGAGGTCCATATGTATAGTCACCATTTCTGTTGTTTTAAAAAAGTATTTGCAATGAAGATGTTGTTTGTCTTGCAAAACTCTATCATGCGATCTTTAGCTTCATATCTATTGCCAGGGTGTTATTTTCCTTCCTCTTTATTTCCAACTTCCAAATTTTGATCACCAGTAATTATCAGTGTATCCTGATTACATACTGATCAATTTCAGACTAGAATGTTGTTTTTGATGAGGAACGTGACACCAATCCTCTACAATTTGTCATTCCTGGCATAGTAAATCATATGATTGTCTGACTCAAACTGGCCAATACCAGTCCGTTTCAGTTCACTAATGTCTCGGATATCGATCTTTATGCGTTCCATTTAGTTTTTGAGAACTTTCAATTTTCTTAGATTCATGTTTCATACATTCCACATTCCAATCATTAACAGATGTTTGTAGCTGTTTCTTCTCATTTTGACTTATGCCTCATCAGCAAATAACATTCCTAAAAGCTTTGCTGCCTCCACATCATTAAAGTCTACTTTGAGGAGGCAACTCTTCTCCAGTCATATTTTGAGTAACTTTCAACCTGAGGGGCCAGGTATGGCATTGTGGGTTAATGCACCATACTGCAAAGCCATTTGAACTGCAAGGTTGGCAGTTCAAGCTCACCAGCTACTCCTTGGAAACCCTATACAGGGTCACTATGGGTCGGAACCTACTCGACGGCATTTAACAACAACATATCAGACATTGCTTCACTGTTATTCATAAGGTTTTCAATGGCTAATTCCTCAGAAGTGAACTGATACATATGCTGCCCAGTCCTGCAGTGGACCACCAGTTTCTTCTTCCTAGTTTGTCTTAGTCTGAAAGCTCTGCTAAAATGTGTCCACCATGAATGACCCTGTTGATATTTGAAACACCAGTTGTATAGCTTCCAGCATTACAGCAACACCAAGCCACCACAGTACAACAAACTGACCTATGAATGGGGCCAAAATGAAATGTTGTAATTGGTAAGTGTCCTCACGCCAGTTCCTACTCATAGTTCCCTACTGTATAGGGTTTCCAAGGCTTCAAATCTCTGCAGGAGCAAAAAGTCTCATCTTTCTCCCATGAAACAGCTGGTAGGCTTGAATCACCGACCTTGTGGTTCACAATCCACTGCTTATCCTATGGAGTCACCTACACTTTACATTAGATGGGATGTCAAGCAACAAGATCTTTGGAATGGAGCATCACTTGCCTGGCTGCCCATGGGCTGCCTTACCACCTTTAGGAAGCCCCTCCAATGTGCCTTTCTGATGTCTCTGTCTGAGTACTCTGGAGATATCTGGCATCTTTTAGTCTAGTCCAATTTAAAGAGTCTTGTCTCGTGAATATGAATGTGGCTGAGGACCTTTTGCAGTCTCAGGATTGCATTCAGACCCCAGGCCATCTACAAAAGGTCTGGGGTGCCTGAGATGGAGGCAGAGACGATGACGTGGAGCGATGGAGCAGCTGGGGACTTTAGATCCAGAGAGGGAGAGGGACTGTGTGCTGAAGACCAGGGGGAGAAATGTGGTGGGCAGGCTTGCAGAATATATACCCTTTGGTTGGTTGATGATGCATGGAGGGGATTGTAACCATGGCAATGAAACGATATATGAAAGAATGTAAAACTAAAGTTCTCCCATGTAAACTATCACATAACTCACAATAAAACATTAAAAAAAAAAAAAAAGTTCTGGGGATCTGCATGTTCTAGCTAAATGTATTCTGAATAAATGGAAATGTCTTGATTAAGGTTAAGGTTTTGTCATCTAGTTCTGTCACTAGTATTTTCTTATTTCTTATTTTGAGAATTGTTTATTACAATTGGAGACATTGAATGGCTCAGAGGTCATTGATATAACTTGCTTGGTTAAATTTAAAATGATTACTCTCAAATGGTTCAGGAAAAAATGCAGTATTTGTGTATAAATGATACGCATGTGTTTACATGTGACAGATAAAGTAGATGTAATAAATGGCTCATGTTTGGAGAATCATTGTGAAAGATATGTGAAACTTTTTTGTACTTTTCTTAAAACTTTTTCCTGTTAGTCTAGAATCACTAGAATATGAGAATACAAGAACTTTAGTCTCTCCATTTGATTTATATATATTGCTAAATATTCTACAAAGATTTGTAATAAGGATAAAATAACAAAAAATGATTAAGTTGGAAAAAATCTAATGTTTTTGAAGATGGAACCTGTTGGCCATCTTAACTACTTGATAGTTGTTATTCTTCTTCAGAAATAAAACGTCTATTTCCTTAATGTGTGGTCTAGACCTCCTATTTTAAGTGAGTGGGAGATGTCCAAAAAGTAGGAGTGACATCCAAAAAGTAGATCTCCAAAAAGTGATGTTTTGCTGGATATCTTCTGATGCCCCTCCATATCTGCTGCCAACTTTCTCTATTATTCCTCATCCCAGATGTCTGATCTAGTCAAATGACTCTCTTCTTTGGCTTCCAGTTGGGTTTGGCCAGTGGTAAGGAAGTAACTAGAGATCATGAGAGTGAGGTGAGTGAGGTCTGGGTATTTTTGTTTCCTGGCTTCCTCCCGCCTGGTGAATTTACTACAAAGCTGGCTTCATTCTATGACTGAAGGACCTTGTACCCATCAGTGATCGTCTCCACATAGTTCTCACTCTCCAGTAACTGGTCACGAAGTCTCTTCCCCCACTTCTTCCAGTCTAGGAGTGATAATGGCATGCCAAGTTACTAGCTACAGAATATTCAACTATCCAATCCCTTGATTAAGGAGCTCTGGTAGAGTAGTGGTTACGAATCGGGCTGCAAACCGCAAGGTCAGCAGTTCGAAACTACCAGCTGTTCCGCAGGAGAAAGATGAGGCTTTCTGCTACCGTAAAGATTTACAGCCTCAGAAACCCTGTACAGGATCATTATGAGTCAGAACCAACTCCGCGGCACATAACAACAACAACATCCCTTGATTAGCCGCTATTCACACCTTTGAAAATAGTTTCTTTATTAAACTCTCTTTAGTTTATCCAAAGGAGCCCTGGTGGCACAGTGGGATCCACAGTAGGCTGTTTGAGCCCACCAGCTAGCCCATGGGAGAAAGATGAGGCAACCCGCTTCCATACAGATTTCCAACCTTGGAAAACCAATGGTGCAGTTCTACTCTGCCTAGAGGGTTAATATGAGACAGACAACTCAATAGCAGTGGTTCCGTTTGGATTTAGTCTGTTTACCCAATCTGAGGAGCTCTGGTAGCCTAGTGGTTACGAATAGGGCTGTGAACCACAAGGTCAGCAGTTCGAAACTACCAGCTGTTCCACGGGAGAAAGATGAGGCTTTCTGCTCCCGTAAAGATTTACAGCCTCGGAAACCCTGTACAGGGTCGCTATGAGTCGGAACCGACTTCATGGCACATAACAATAACAACAACAACCCAATCTGAGTATGGTATACGGTTCTTGTTGGAACCCTAAATGAAATGACAATGTCTGCTACCTCGTGATTTTAAAGAAAAATTCAGCAACTGTGCTGAATTGACCCCAACCAATCACCAGCCACTACTGTTAAGTTGACCCCTACACAAAGTAGTCCTATAGGACAAACTAGAACTGCCCCATAGGGTTTCCAAGGTTGGAAATCATTACCAAGGAGTCCTGGGGTGGCGCTGTGGGTGAATGCCCCAGACTGCAAAGCTGTCTGAACTGCAAGCTTGGCAGTTCAAGCTCACCAGCTGCTCCTTGGAAACCCTATACAGGGTCGCTGTGGGTCAGAACTGACTTGATAGCACTTAACAACAACAACAAATCATTACCAAAGTGTGGTTGGGATTAACAGTTGAGTACCCTCATCACCAGGGTTCCTTTCAGATGACCCCAGCAAGGGTCATTTTCTTACCACTTAGCTCGTTAATTCTTCCACACGACCCCTTAGAAAGATGCCATAGATGACCTATAGAGATTACTGTTCAGATCTTTAACTTGGCTCAAATACAATGTCTATTGTAACATTTTCCATTATTGATAAGGCTAATGCTTGCTTCTGGGTCTCTCTCCACTGCATTCATCAGTATCACCCACACTGATGATGCTCAGCAGCACGTCTGAACCACACTGAAACAGGGTTTCTTTAATTCAGGGATATCAACTGATTCATTCCTGCTTGACACCCCACTCCCCCACACTGAGAATTTGCCTTTACACTCCAGAGAGACTGAATCAGAATTTATATTTTAGTAAATTCCCCAGGTAATTCTCGTTAAAATGTAGCATCTGATTCTGTAGCTGCACATCTAGTGTGGAAATGCAAATTCCCAGCAGGAGGCTGAACTGGAATGTACTGTTTCCAGCCCAGCTTGAATTGTCCTGAGCCATACCACGTGGTGGTAGGACAAGACCTGTTCCTTGGTGCTCCCTTCTCCCCAGAATTTTCTTGCATGATTGTGTTGATCATGTCGTTATCTAGAGCCAGTTCAGAAGTGCTGGCACATGCCCAAGCTCCAGGGGTCTCAGTGCCCGTTGTAACTTCTGGGCACAGACCTGTCTGGTGTCGCAAGGATTTTCCCTGAAGGTGCTCTTTTCCAAGAAGGAGACTGCCTTGTTAACTTGCTCAGTTACCTGTGGTTGTGTGCCGTCAAGTCGGTTCCGACTCATAGCCACCCTGTATAGGATTTCCAAAGCTGTAAATCTGAATAGGAGCAGAACCAAACCCAATGCCATTGAATCAGTTTTGACTCATAGTGACCCTGTTGTTGTTGTTGTTAAGTGCCGTGCGTCGGTTCCAACTCATAGTGACCCTGTATAGCGTTTCTGAGGAGGGCCTGATGAGTTTGAACCTGTGGTTCAAACTGACCTTGCAGTCCAGTGCATTAACCCACAGTGCCACATAAAGGACAGGTAAAGCAGGCTATAAATCTTTATAGAAGTAGACTACCTCATCTTTCTTTCTTGGTGTGGCTGGTTGGTTCAAACC